CAGACCACATGTGCGGATCTTTGAGGAAGGTCTTCTCTCAGAAAAAAAAGAGAGTGATATCTGGTAGACGAAATCTGGGCCAGCATCGAACCCATTATTTGTGTGTACCTCAGATTCCAAGTTTCAGGGTCTCCGCACCCGAGGCTGACCGCATCAAGGTCCTGCAGAAGGAGGTGGAGGTGTTGGGCGGCCCAGCGCCTTTCGCTTTGGAGCGCCTTTCGCCGGGGCGAGTTTTCCCCCGATCGCGGGGTCTGAAATCGAAAAGAACCCGGTTGCCCGGTGGTGCCCCTTTTTTCCCTTTTTTTTTTGGTGGGGGGAAGGGTTCCCCTTCAAAGTCAACCAACCAAAAAAGGGTGTCCTTTTTTTTCTTCCGCGTGGCCACTGGGCATCTCAGAGAACGGCCTGTTTCAAGAGGAGTTTCACGGAGATGTTTGTTGTCACTGACGCTGAGGTGGGACGGCCAACTCTGGAATTTTCGATGAGAAAGCAAGAACGCCGACGGTGAATGGAAGGGAAACCTCTGGTTGAATCCTTCCAGGTTGCTTTTTTGCCTGGTGAGCATTTGGTATTTGGGCTGGCGACCAATCTAATTCAATGCACATGGCAGGTGCAGGTGAAAAGTTTGTTTGACCTGAGCGAATGGCCCTGGCATGAGTGGAGCCCCCGCTTGCAACTTAAATGTTCATGCCGTGAAGCATGGTCCAGCTATGCCCAGCCTGCCTTTGCACAACAGCGAGAAGGCCCCTTTCTAAGTAGCTCGAGAGCAAACACTGGGTCACCTGCCAGACTGTCTTGAGGAGTCTTGAGCTTTTGGCCCCAGCTTGGGATCTTGAGGTTCCGCAGGCAATCTCTCCTGAGATTTTCACGTCTTGCGCTTGTTTTGCCACGTTGGGGGAGGTGCTTGCCCAAAACAGGCGGCAGGGTTGCTGTGATTGCTGGAGCGCTTCGAATCCTTTGTGGTTTTGGGGTCCAACACTTCGTGGCTTCAAGAGGGACGTACTTTTCTCTCTGCTTGGAGCCAAAAAGAGGGCTACCTTCCATGGGAAAGCCGCAATTGCTGCCTGTCCTTGGGCTCTGCGAGGCACAGGAAGCTGTTGAAGGAAGAGGACGAGCAGAGGCAGCGGGGAGACAAGCGGCGGACAGGGAAGCGGCAGTTGAGGAATGAAGACTTAACCTTAACCTTTGCCTCTGGGTGGAAGCAGTCTTCTTGGGTTTGTTTTGGAACCCGCACCTATAGGAGCCCCTGCGAGTTTGGCAGTTTTCTCTTGTAGCCGACAACTTGGCGCGGGTACCTTGTTTTTACAAATCCCGGACTTGTTTGATGGCTGTTTCTGGGCAATCAGCACAGCAGGTCGGAAAGGACCACCTAAAAATGCAAGGTGGTTTGGATGGTTGGCTGGTTGGCTGGCTGCGTTGGCTGGCTGGGTTGGCTGGTTGGGTTGGATTGGATTGGATTGGTTTGGTTTGGTTTGGTTTGGTTGGGTGGGTGGGCTGGCTGGTTTCTTGCCAAGCTGGGCTTGTACTATTTGTTCGAGAACACTTGTTGAACGACAGCCTTTGTCCCAATTCCCAATTTGCCCTTTTTGCGTGAATGAAGTGCTTGCATCGTGGTGACACCTTGGCAGTAAAGTGGGGTCTCGCCTGTACTGAAAGGCATTGTGTCGCCTCTTATTGGCAGCAATCGATTAATATATCGATCAGGCACTGATGAAAGCCGGTTTCCAGACTGTTGTGTAAACACATCTCGTGGCAAGACCACTTTTGACACCTAGAACGCCTCGTAGTCGTGCGGCGTTCCGACCTCAGGGCTCCGCTCTTGGAGGCGCGGCAAGCACGGGCGCGTGCGCTTCGCGGGTCTGCGTTTCATCTTTGACTTGTTGGTGTGTCAAGGATCAAGCCTTCGAGGCCCACAGTTGTATCAAGTGTTGCCTCGGCCTTCTTTGAACAGCTGCGGCATGTTAGAGTGGCGTGGCAGAGGGCTGGGCTTTCGTCCAGCGAACACCTGCGTGGTGGACAGCTTCGGAGCATGTTGGCCGCTTCAGCGAGGGCCCTTTTGGCGCAGTGAACATGAACCCTAGAGTGGATTTGCTCAACCTCAAACCCGCTTGCGAGCAAGGGGAGGAATTTGCACAAAGCTGAATTTGACCGGATGATTGTTGTATCGGACCTGTCCTTTTGTTGACAATTTCCAGCGGTGCCAACATCAGTTTCATCGAACGCACTGTCAACAAGAGTTCGTCCTCCTGCGATGGACTCTGTCAACCTCCACAACAAGTAGATGCTACTTTGGGGTTGAGACACGTTTCCCCAAAAAATGTGCCACAACGTGTGAGTGGTCGCTTGGAAGATGATATCGCTATCAGCTGGCTAGCTGGCTGGCTACTTTGGACCCAGACTCGAGGGGGGGGCGGGGGGGCACAACGCTGTCTCACCCACTGTCAGCCGTGGCGCTCGCTCATCCAAATCATCAGCCTTGCGGAATGAGAATGGCTTTCTCCCGGCATCTAGTCATTGGAGAGATGTGGTTTGTGTTTCCGTGAGGAGGGAGACTTCTTGCCAGTCTTGGCAAGAGGAAGTTGTGAGTTGTGAGGGCTGCCTTCCGGGGGTAGAAATTGGGGTTGTTGATTGATCAGTACCCCCGGGGTTGCGCTCGGACTTCCCCAGCAGGGAGCAGAAGTTGGCCTAAGCTGAGGGCGCTTGTCATCAACCATCGGCCAAGCTGCCGACGGAGGCCCCCAACCTCTTTTTGGTTTGCAATTCAGAAATCCAAGTGGGTGCCCAATCTTGATGCTCAAGTTTCGCCATTACTCCCGAGCCAAACACATTTCCTCTTGCCAGGGCAAGCTCGCCAAGGGTCTGCAGAAGCCGCTGGGATGCGCTTCAAAGCAGTCCGTGTCAAAATTCACCCTTGTGGCTTTGTCAGAAGCTTTAAGTAGGCATCTCTGATGACCAGAGTGGTGGCTGAGTGGAAGGCTTGCCCGAAGTTGAGTTCTCTTTTCCAAGGCGCGAGCGACTGGCTGAGGCTTGCCGATCATTGGCACAGACTCGCTTTCCCAACCGAGGCCACGCAAGGACAAGCAAGATATCCACAACGAGTTCAGGACCGAAACCTTGCATGCCAGGTTTCCTTTTTGCGTGCAGATATGTCAGGGGGGCCTCACAATGTGCCGCGTTTACGACTCGATTTTCAAGAATGCGGCAGGGTACTCGCAATCTGGACCTTGGTGGATGCCCTTTGTCCGTTTGGATTTTCTTGAGGCCAGGTTGCCGCTCCTTCCCTGCCTGATACAAGTGTCCCGAAGTGGTTCCCTGCCCTTGTCCCCTCAATAGGGCAGTGTTTAGACATGCCTGGTGATATACATGGGTGTGTCTTTTCTGTTGTTGCCATTCTTGGGGTTGTTTCAACGGGAAAGCACAGGCAAGCCACTCATTTCAGTCGATCCCCCTGCTTGGCACTGTCTGTCGGCCCTCCAATCAAGTAACCACGGATACCTCCCTTGTGATAAAGCACCCCTCCCAGGAAGAAGGCGTGATGGTCATAGAATTGACGCCGTTACTGGAAAAGCCAATAGTCAGGGGTGGCAATGTGCCTTTCTCCAACTCCGCGAGCCAGGAAGAAAGCCTGGTAAGTTGCAACGCGACCATTTGAGCGGGTGTGCAAAACACCGCGTGCCGAATTCGCACTGTGGGACCGAGGTCTTTCACAGAGCTTTCAGTCATTAGTAATGACTCTTACAGAATCACATCAGCATGCTGCGGCTTGCTCGTGTTCATAGGCTGAACGTCTCAATCGGCCGTTCGTGTCGATCCCATGTTCACGCCAGCCTTTGGACAACTTCATGAGAGAACCGGTGAACTATTGGCCAGCTTTCACCGCGGCACACCAGGAACTTCCCCGAATTGCAATTTGCGACTTCTGGATAGGTTTGAATCATTGCTCTTATTAATTCTGGATCTATTGAAGGATACTTCATCCCCTAATTGATTACTTGATAGGTTTCATCTTCTGTACTTTTCTCCTAGGCAGCAGCTGCAGCTTCTTTTGGCCGGGTCTCTTTCGTGACCGGAGGTTGGCAAAAATCACCGGATATCTGACTTTTGCTCACACATTTGTCCGCGTCCGGGTGGAGGGGGCCTTTTAGCATCTCCAAAGCTGGTGAGCAAACATCTCTTTTTCCCAAGCAGAAAAACATATTTGGGTGCATGGGGTGAACAAATATTTGGGTGTGTCTTAAAACAGGGGACCCTTCCACGTAGGCGGTTCCTTTTGGTTTCCTTTAAAACACATCCAAAAAGGGGTCAACTCATTTGATTTGAGCAAAAGTCGTTCGTGATTCTCTCGAAGGGAGCCTCGGCGCCTCTGAAGCGGCCGCCGTGCTCACCTTCACGGCGAGGAAAAGGGAAAGAGGTGCGTGTCTTTTGAGTGTACGCTTCCAACTAACATGGCACCTGTGGGGAGGTACCTGGAAGATCAAGTTCCTTTTGAAGGGATCCCCTGTCAGTTGGGGTACCTTTTTAAAGCTTGGCGCAAAGGGACACCATAAGGACACCCGCCTTTGCTTTTTTTGTTCCGCATGTGTTGGAACCCCCCCCCCCCCTCCCCGAGAAAACACAAAAAAACAGCTTTTGGACAAGCGCGCCAAAGGCCTCAGCGAGAAGGGTCCTGTTCTTTGGACTCACCGGCTCCTAAAATTGTCATAGCACCTCCTCAAAAGTGATGTGTCAGTTGAAGGCATAGTATGAGATTGGTCAGGGTGGTAGGATGTCGCAATTCAAGCAGGGGGATTTCTTGGACTCTGACTTGATGCCCTCCTGAGCTGTCACTAGCAAACGCTGCCACACGCAAGGACACAATGTGCATTGACCATCCGAATGCAAACTGGACATCAGAAAGCATGCCTTCTGAGGTACTTCGATGACAATGGTCCCAACACACCTCCGAATCTTTCTCAACAAATATCTTGCAGTGATGTGTGAAGCTTTGTAGATGGCATGCCTGAATGGAGGCGGGTAACAAAAACAAAACACACTTGAAGCTTCAAGCATATGCGCGAAAACGCATGTGCCGTATTCTCCCCGTCGCGCTGGAAGATGCGGCTTCTCAAGACGATGGCCAGACAGTTCCTCAGTGTTCAGTGGCACCCTTTTTCCTTTTTTTGGGTGGCTGCCCCACTAAAAATGGTCTTCCCAAAAAAGGGTTCCTTTTTTCCAGGGTCACTGAACAACTGAGGTTCTGGTGCTGAGGGAGACCTTTGGGGGTGCCTCCGTGCGTGAGAGCCTCGCCGCGGCCGTGTCTGACCAACGCTGCGAGGTGCAGTTCAAGCGGATGACGGCCGGGAAGGAGCCGGCAGCTGGGTCAAGCTTGGGCAACGTCGTATGGCTTTGCCCTTTCACAAAGTCATGGTAGAACATGTCTTGATCAGTGGTTTCACACGAACTCAGGATGACTAACCCCCTGGTGGAATGGGGGAAGTGCAATTTGAACGTTCCTTCACTGTTGGGGGAGATGAATTCCCTACTCCACCGGGTGAGTCCGTCTGAGGTAAAGTCTGGGGCCGCGCTGGCGGAGGTCCAGACGCTCCTCGCCGAGTCCCGCGGCGAGGATAGCGTGCTGCTGATGGACGAGACATTGCTGGCGCCCTTCGCACAGCGCATCTTGGAGCAAGCGCCCGCGTACCTGCAGAGCCACTGGTACGGCACGGAGTTTATTGCTTCCCTGTTTTTGGGGCTCCTCGTTGTTTGGCGGCTTCCGTGACGTGGGTCTGCCACTTGAAGACATTTGAGAAGGCGGAATGATGCGCTTCGTTCAAAGTCTTGATCACACGGTTGAGGTGACGTCGCACCGAGGTGACTGGTTCCACCTCTTCCCTCCCAGCTGGCAGCCATCCCCACTCTGTTTGATCTTGGGAGGTGTCGGCGCCAGATCTGACCTGCATGCAGACCCTCTGGCTTGGACAGGCGGGAAGGCGCCAAAGTTGAAGACCGACTTTGCATGGTTAGCGGGAAACATGATGCCAATTTCAACACATACTGGAATGTGTACTTGCAAATGCAGAGAGAAAAAGAGAAGGAGAGAGAGAGAGAGAGAGCAAGTGATGTTGATGAGGTTGGTGGTGATGGTGATACTTGTGCTGGTAGTGCTGATGACGCAGGTGATGCTGCTAATGTCCGGGATGCTGGTGGTACTTAACAGGCTCAGACCGTGGCACGCCCTGTTGACATTAACAGCGGACGCATGCATGATTCTGATTTGTTTGAGGCATCTGTAAGGGACAAGTTGACTGTCTGAGCATGAATCTCAGTATCGAAGCAAGGTGCCTTACACGACCTAAATCATCCAGCAGCATTATCGAAGCAAGGTGCCTTGCACGACCTAAATCATCCAGCAGCATTATCGAAGCAAGGTGCCTTGCACGACCTAAATCATCCAGCAGCATTCTCGATTGCAGCACCAGACGGCAAATGTGGCCCCAGCTGGCTTTCACCAAAACCAGCGGATTCTGTTGTGGTGCTCTACTTCTGTGTCGTTCCTTCGGTGAGTTTCAAAATCACCTTTTGGCCCTTGAGGCTGGAACTGCTTGCTTCGCGGCCGCAAGCTCTGGCGCTTCTTCCCCGCGGGCCGGAGCGCTTGCGATGCTGAGCCTCGCTTCGGCGCGGTGCCGCGGCCCTTCGGGGTGGGCCGCGGGGAGCTGTGCGCCATCGGCTGCGGGCGCGGCAGCGCCAAGGACAGCTTTCAGGAGGACCTGGTGCCTTTGCTAAGTGGGGGGTTGTTTTTTTTTTTGGGGGGGAGTTTGGGAGGGCGGGCCGTGTTCTTGAAGGGCGCGCGTCGTGCTTTGCGTTTGTGTTTTTTGGTTTTGCGCCAGTCAGATGGGAGACTCGTCATGAGAATTTGGAGAGCCGAGAGTAGCTGCAAGAACACATGCCCAAACGTGGTTGCTTACAACTGTTTGGGTTGAACTGTTGTGCGCCTCTCTTGCAAAGTCAAAGGGCCTCTTGTCTTTTGTGCACGTTGCAGGGGTTTGAGGGTGCCCTTCTTGCTTTCCTGAATGCAAACCCCCTGACAAGCCCGTTGATCCGAGGGCCCGTGCTTGGAGTATCTGCAGCAGCCCGGGGAGACCTTGATCTTCCCGGGGCACTGGTGGCACCAAACGTTGCTGGACTCGGCTGTTTCGCCTTTGGCATCTTTTTGGGGTCCTGGGTTTTGGATTCTCCAATTGACCAGAAGCACAGCTTTTGCAGTTGGTGCTTTGGTCAAGGTACCACCTGACAACCACCGAGGGCTTTGCGGGGCAGCTGCTGAATGGTCAAAACCTGCGGCGGGTTATGGAGCACATTGTCAGCTGGTGCCACTTGGAGGTCCGCTGAATGCTGATTTGGGCCCTCAAATTGTGCGAAGACTGCCAAGTCTGTTAAGTCATTTACAAGCGGCCCCCCCACTTCCATGATTGGAGGGAAGATTGATCCTTTGATTTTGCTTCAGCCTGCTTGTGGCACCAACCAAGATTCATTTTCTGATTCGGAGTGGGAATTGCAGGTAGAAGAGGAGATCTGGCAAAGGCCGCACCAGGAGGTGATCGCCCAGGTACTGAGCGAGGCCGTCGACTCGATGTAAGCCCCAAAGCGACGCACCTTCCGTGGCTCTCCGGCACTGGCAACACGCTCAAGATCTCCAGGCCTTGGTCCCCGGCGCAAGGAGTGGCCATCTTCCCTGCATCCAACGAAGCGAAGCGCGGTCCGTTCTCCAGCCTTCGCCCTCCTTCAGCTGCGCCATCCATTGCCCATGGCAAGGGCGGCGCTGGGCTGCACGAGCTCCGTCGCATGACAAAGATGGCCCGGTTTGACGCGCGGCGTGGAGTGCACCTTTGATCCCTCAAATTGATTCAAATTGTAGGTCTGCCTGTACCAAGGTTTTTGTGAGCGAAGAAGGGACCCCTATGCTTAATCCAGCGGACTTCCCATCGCCCCGAGCTTGGGCTCAAGCGCTAGGTCGTCAGGGCAGCCGAGCAAGGAACTCATCCCGGGTGCTCAGCCCCACTCGGTTTCCATGAGCAAGCCCTGGTTTGGGGACATAGGGCAATTTCAAGCTGTCTGAAGAGGTCCTGGCCCATTTCTCGAGTGGGACCGGGTCACGGGACTTGGTGAGATTTCCCACGCCAATGGTGGTGCCGGAGTTGGCGGAGGGTCCGGCGGATGCTGCGGTGCGGAGGCTTCTGAGGAGCGCTAGGGGCTGGCAGGGTTCGGGTCCCTTTGGAGCGACTTTCTCGAGGGGTAGCTAAAGGGGACTCGGGCGACGGTATGGAGCCGCGCACACTACCCGAACATAGTTGGACCAACAAGTTGGGGTGGATCAACTCCCCCGGGTACCACCGGGACCGCTCAAGCCGTCCCGCGGAAACCTCAGAATCGTCCAGCAAAAGACTATGTGTCTGTTCCCTGTTCATGGGCCACCCTTTCCGTTGAAAAGCAAACTGAATTGCGTGTCTCTTTTGAGGGTATCATGCATGTACCCTCTCAACTTCGTTTCGACTTCTCAAGGGGCAAGAAAACACAAAACAAACGCAACTCATCTTCACTCCAAACCCCTTGTTCTGCCCACACACCCACATGAGCATAACGGAAGATTCATCATCACCATCCTCCTCCTCATCCTCATCCTCCTCCTCCTCCTCATCCTCATCCTCATCCTCATCCTCATCCTCATCCTCATCATCCTCATCCTCATCCTCATCATCATCATCATCATCATCATCATCATCATCATCATCATCATCATCATCATCATCATCATCATCATCATCATCATCATCATCATCATCATCATCATCATCATCATCGTGATCATCATCATGGCGATCATCAAATTACACCAGTATCGACCCCAAATAGCGACATGCATGCCCCCCGAAGAGCACCTGCGCCATCTGCATGCTCCCGAACACCGTGCCAACCCCGAACAGCACCCCCAAACAGCACTCCCAGAGCACCCAGCGCGCCATCACCACAGCGCCCCAAATAGCACCCCAAATAGCACCCCAAACAGCACCGCAAACACGAGTTTTCTCCCGAAAGCTCCCGTTTCGACCAACAAGTCCCCCAGGCCGCCCCTCCTTTTCCGGGTCCTTCGGCCCTGGCCGGTCGGCGAGGAGCCACCCGCGGGTGCAGCCCTCGAGCCTGGCGGCGGCGGAGCTGAAGGCTCTGGGCCTCAAGCTGCCGATCCTCGAGTGGGCCCGGGGCTTGGGAGACGTGAGCGCACGCGGGTGGCGTGCGGAGACGTGCGGAGACGTGCGTTCGAGGGATCGGCGGGGAATGAGACATGGAGTCAAAGACCCCAAGAAAAAGACCTTAGGGGGAGCAAAGCCTGGGTTCATTCCCGCATTTTCTGGAGGTTTCCGACTTGGGTCGAAAATCGGGAAGCCCCAAAATGGGTTGCCCGGTCGTGGTGATTTCTTTTTGACCCATTCATACCCACTTGGGGAAAACCCAGAGCCAAGCTTCATCCATGTTCGGTAAGTGAAGGTTAGGGAGGACAGTACCAACCCGAAATATGTTCCAACTCGACAAGTGAAGGCCTGGATAGAAAGGACAACCCCAACCAGAAGTAAGTGCGGAGTTCCGGCCTCTCGATTCTTTACTTGACTTGTAAACCCGCTCAGGACCGGGTTTTGATTTGTGACTCAGTTTTTTCCTTCTTGTCGGTGTCCTCTGGTTGATTGGGTACCCTAATTTTCAGAAGGCAACCAAAAGGAGGCCAGGCCCTGCTGCACAATGGCACTCTCTGAACCCTTTTTGGTGGGTTCCACGTGATCAAGCCCCAAATAGAATGGCTCACTGGGGAAGGGAAATCATGATTTGAGAGCAGAACAGGTGTCCTTGGGCGCCCCGCCTTCAGTTTGTTTCGAATCATTTGCCAGTGCCCTCCTTTTTTTGGGGACCCCGCCCCCCCCAAAAATGGTTGTTTTGAAGACGTATCCCAATGCTTCCAAACAGGCACCTGGACCAAGAGACTGGGGGAAGGCAAGGAGAAGGGAAGGTCTGGGACGAGTTACCCAAAGCAGAAATCTTCCTCCCTCGCTGCTCTCACTCAATCCCGCTTCTCTGTTGAAGCCAGAGTGCCAGAGGAAAAACCATCAGCCTCTGCTTTCGGTGTTTTCGACGACCTTACAACACACTTGTATTTGTTGCTTGAGAGTTGGAGGGCGAGTCTGTTGGGAGATAGGGGAGATTAAGGTTAAACAACTTGTGGACAAAAAGGGAGGACAGAAGGGGACGACGAAAAGCCGTCGCGGGTTCCTGTTTTGGGCCTACGAGGGCCTCCCATTTGGCACGCTTGAGCCTTTCAACAGAGGCCGCTCAAAGATGTGAAGGTCAAGGACTGGTTGGCGCCCAGGATTTGGAGCAGCCTTGGGGCCGCTACCTGGATGCTGAAATAGGCGCCGGGTGCGGAAGGGATCCGCATTGGAACTGCGAAGCCAGGGAGCCAGTCTTGGACGCACAAGCAAAAGCAAAAGCCCAAAAGAAAGAAGCAGAAACCGACACAGCAGCTGCTCAGCTGCTTGCAAGAGTCCAAATAGAGATGTGACGTGGCCCATGCACCTCGAGTGTCTTTGGCCTTTGGTCTCTGCCCGTGGAGCCTGACAGCTGATTTCATGCGCAAGGTGGGCCTTTTGGGAGCGTATTAGGCAAGAATTGTCAGCAAGCCAAATGCTTAGTCGCATGCGTTTGTTGCCGTATTCGCCCAGCCTGGGCATTTGCTACCGTAAGAGACAACAAAGAAACTGTGGCACTGGGCAGAAAAGGCCCGATGATACCAATGGCGAGAAGCATGTGAGACGTGTCTCCACAGCACAAGTTGCTGGGTGTGAGAGGTTCAGCGGTGCTTGTGTTGCCTGCAGGCCAATGCGGCTTGTAATTGGGCTGTCCAAGCATCGCCAAAGCGGTGTCAAGTCTCTTGAACGGCAAAGTTCAGTATCACGAGCTCCGGCGTCACTCTAGCTTGCAACATGTGGCTTTCCTTGAAAGAGAACGATTTTGTGGTTTGAGAAGAGGCGGAATTTGCCTTGCTGTGCCCTGCTGTCAATGCAACTTGAGGTGGAGGGTGGGGAGGGGGCGCGAAGGCAAGAATTGTAAGCGAACAGTATTGGGACAAGTTGCTGGGTGTGGGAGGTTCAGCGGTGCCTGTGTTGCCTGCAGGCCAATGCGGCTTGTAACTTGGCTGTCCAAGCATCGCCAAACCTCTTGAACGGCAGAGCTGAGTATAGCTTGCAACATGTTGCTTTCCCGGAAAGAGAACGCTTTTGTGGCTGGAAGAGGCGGAAATTGTAAGCGAACGGTATTGGGACAAGTTGCTGGGTGTGGAAGGTTCAGCGGTGCTTGTGTTGCCTGCAGGCCAATGCGGCTTGTAACTGGGCTGTCCAAGCATCCCCAAAGCGGTGTCAAGTCTCTTGAACAACAGAGTTCACTATCACGAGCTCCGGCGTCACTCTAGCTTGCAACATGTGGCTTTTCTGAAAAGAGAACGATTTTGTGGTTGAAAGAGGCGTGGGACAAGTTGCTGGGTGTGGAAAATTCAGCGGTGCCTGTGTTGCCTGCAGGCCAATGCGGCTTGTAACTGGGCTGTCCAAGCATCGCCAAAGCGGCATCAAGTCTCTTGAACGGCAGAGTTCAGTATCACGAGCTCCGGCGTCACTCTAGCTTGCAACATGTGGCTTTTCTGAAAAGAGAACGATTTTGTGGTTGAAATAGGCAGAATTTGTAAGCGAACGGTACTGGGACAAGTTGTTGGGTGTGGGTGGTTCCGCGGTGCTTGTGTTGCCTGCAGGCCAATGCGGCTTGTAACTGGGCTGTCCAAGCATCGCCAAAGCGGCGTCAAGTCTCTTGAACGGCAGAGTTCAGTGCCCGAGCTCCGGCGTCACTCTAGCTTGCAACATGTGGCTTTCCTGGAAAGAGAACGATTTTGTGGTTGGAAGAGGCAGAATTTGCCTTGCTGTGCCCTGCTGTTAATGTAACTTGAGGTGGAGGGTGGAGGGGGCACGAAGGCAAGAATTGTAAGCGAACAGTATTGTCCCTGGGTGTGGGAGGTTCAGCGGTGCCTGTGTTGCCTGCATGCCAATGCGGCTTGTAACTGGGCTGTCCAAGCATCGCCAAAGCGGCGTCAAGTCTCTTGAACGGCAGAGTTCAGTATCACGAGCTCCGGCGTCACTCTAGCTTGCAACATGTGGCTTCCCTTGAAGGAGAACGATTTTGTGGTTTGAGAAAAACGGAATTTGCCTTGCTGTGCCCTGCTGTCAATGCAACTTGAGGTGGAGGGTGGGGAGGGGGCGCGAAGGCAAGAATTGTAAGCGAACAGTATTGGGACAAGTTGCTGGGTGTGGGAGGTTCGGCGGTGCCTGTGTTGCCTGCAGGCCAATGCGGCTTGTAACTTGGCTGTCCAAGCATCGCCAAAGCAGAGTCATGTCTCTTGAGCGGCAGAGTCCAGTATCACGAGCTCCGGCGTCACTCTAGCTTGCAACATGTGGCTTTTCTGAAAAGAGAACCATTTTGTGGTTGAAATAGGCGGAATTTGTAAGCAAACGGTACTGGAAAAAGTTGTTGGGTGTGGGTGGTTCCGCGGTG